GAAAGGTCTGTTTCCTCTTGTATTTCTAGTCTTCAAGGAAATCTCTTATGACTGTTTACACACACTTCTTTTTTTTTTTAAAGATATTTCTTTGAGGGCCCTCCCTGGTGGCGCAATGGGTTAAAGCACAGCACTAATTAGCTTAAGCCACTTCTGCATGAGTTCGATCCCTGGAGGAGATCCACATGGAGTGGCAGACCTCTCCTGACAGGCCCGCTGCTCCCCTCAGCAGTGCACTTCGACGATCTGCCTGTTCTGCTCCCTGCTCTGTCTCTGGTGAAGCCTCTCACCCTCCGCATCTCTGGCCTGTACCCCAGTTCTGTATGTACAAACAAATAAATCTTAACAACAACAACAAAGATATTTCTTTGATTTATATGTTTAAGTTTTTTATTTGCCATGGAATGCTGACTACAGGCAGACTTTGGAGGGTCATCCTAATGGTGTTGAGGAATAATTCTTCAAGGGCCCTTTTAGTTCTTGGTTTTTGACAACTAACACCTGTCACTATAACAAAATGAGATAAAATTAACATGGTTACTCTCGATAAAGGAAGAAAGCTGTTGTGGTTGCTGCTATCCACAAACATAAATATCTATCCTTTCCCAATGACACACGGTCTTAAACAAAATAACTGCCTATTACTCTTCTTACTATTATGCAGTTATAGTTGTAGGTAAATCAAACTGGATACTAACTTTCTTTTGGTATAATCAGCTCTCAGGTTCACAAATGCTTGTTCCTAGAATATTCAAAATAATAGAAAATAAGCAGCTATATATAGCTCTTCCCTCGGGTTTTACTCTTTCACAGAATAGGGTATTTCCTTTTTTCAATCTTCTAGCTTTTTGAAATTTTCTCTGAAACAATCTTAACTTACTTCTTGCAGCACTTCCAAACTATTAAGATGATTTTTGCCAATAATGCTCAACTGGATGACTAAAGATACCCCAGAAGAGCTGTGCAATACCCCTATTATTTTTACTGCTTTATACTCCAACTGAGATCTTCTCAGGACCTGGCACTTAAAAGAAACTAAGTGAATGAAAGCTATATCATCTTCACATTTCAAATTGAATTTCACTGCTATTATAGGCTGAATTAAAGTAATAATAGTAATAATTAATAATAGACAACAGGACTGCTCAAGCCCAGTGGCTTATTTCCTTTCCTTAGGTTCTAGGATGCCAGAAATACAGTTGATTAAATACTCTAAAGGCAAAAGCTAATTCCCTTGCTGGCTTATTCCCGTTATTCAGTCTCTTTTTTCCTCTTCTATTTCTAGTCTTCAAGGAAATTTCTTACTTTTATGACTGTTTACACACACTTTTTTTTTTTTTTAAAGATATTTCTTTGATATGTGTTTAAGATTTGTATTTGGAATGGAATGCTGACCACAGACAGACTTTGGAGAGTCACCCTAATAGTGTTGAGGAATAATTCTTCAAGGGCCCTTTTAGCTCTTGGTTTTTGACAACTAACAACTGTCACTATAACAAAATGACTAAAATACATCTGGAAAATATGAAGAATTTATAACTTTGAGCTTTGTTGAGATTCTTTAAAAGAAGTCTATTAGTTAGGAGAGTCCTAAATTCTGATCATTTTAGTTCTAATGCAATACATAAATAACCTTATGTAATTTGTTGCTACACTTGTAAAAAAAAGGAATATATTTATAAATCATCTATTATGTTCTTAAGCATCATACTTTAAAAAGGAGTTTAAGTACCATAAAGGAATTAGAAGGAATCTGTAAACTATATTTTGCTGCTACTAGATGTTGATTTTAAATAATGTAGATAAGTAAATTTTATTTTCCTAATAGTTTGTCAGGAAGGGTATCTACCCCAGAAAAGATGAGAAGAACATATGTAAAGAAGATTAATCAGTTAAAAAAAGATAGAAGAAACAAATTCATTAAGTAATAACTCCTAAAGAAGAAAAAAGGGAGAAAAAAAGAAAAGAAAGAAGAAAGCTGGGTTTGAGTTCAAGAACACTTGTCAGAATGTTAAAGTATAGTAGTCTCTTCACAAAGGTATCATTCCTACTTTCAAATCAAGCTCAACTGGAGCTTTCAAAAAATAATGATAAACATCCATTATTTTTAATAAATCAACTGTCTATAATTCTAGGTGGAATCATTTAGAACAGAAGGTATATATTTATGTGACCCATGAGGTCTGCTGCCCATAGAAAATTTTAACCTTTATGTCACTATTACTGAAACTAAACTCTCAGACCTAAATTTAACAAGCAAAATAAGAAAGTGATAGTTATTAAAGAGAAATTTTTGAAGATCTATTTTGCCAAGATGCAAGCGAAAAGCTAATGGAAAGAAGTTGTGAGTGGGTGTAATCACTGAATTTTACTTACTGAAACACTAGAGTAAAGGGGAAATTAATAAATGAGTCAAGGTGTTACAGGGCAACCCCATGTGAAACGGGTTGCCTGACTGTGGGTCCACACCCATGTGCTTAAAAGGACTTGTGAGGTAAACATGATAACCACTACACTACGGAAACGCTGCTTAAAAGGGACTTGTAATGAAACACGCAGGCAAGCACAAAAATGTTAATAAAGGGTTTACTTACAAAAAAAAAGGGAAATGAAGAAAGCAATGATTCAAGGAGAAAGAAAGAGAGATAAATTGGTAAATGTGTGCTACCAGTTCCACTGAGCTGGGACCCCTACAGCACACTGAAAACTGGCATAAAATAAAAGACCCCAAGACTCACATATCCCAACATCCTCCCTGCAGTAGTGATAACATTTAGGGATTTGTAGTCTTTAGTGTCTGCTCACTTTGGATTGCGGTGAGGGTAGAGTCTGTAAAACTTGTTTGTGGAGTTCATTCAGGACATCCTTTCCTCCCAACAAAAGTGTGACTTTTATAAAGCATTGCATAAAGACCATATAATTCTTTGCCTCCGGGGAATCTATTTAAATACTTACTTTCTCCACATGGCAATGAAGGACTGTGCTGACACAAATCCTGTGCTTTCTCCCCCTGCAGCCCTGAACATGGGGGCTTTCCAATAGAGAGGACAGCCACAGACCTGCAAATGAAACACAAATAAATGTTAAGCCATGGGCTAGGAAAGAGATGACATGCCAAAGAAAGGGCCTTTGTGGCTTTTACTTGTCACATCATAACAAACTAGAGCAGAGGAGAATATATCAGTTAGTGTAGATTCAGAGACATAGGGTGAACAAAATAAGAAGATTACATGTTTAATGATGGAAATGAAAATCCATTTACTGTCTCCAAGTTCATTTATAGTGATGTTTCTTTTCTCTATCCTGATAGTGAAAGCAATGAATCTCCCTTCCTAACATTACTAATCACTTATATTTTACCTTTTAGAAAAAATGAAAAAGAAACTGAATAATGTGGTTGTATGTGCCCTTGTTTCATTCAGCAGAAAGACAATCACCTTTATTACTTGATCACATGTCGCTTATAATTACCAACTATTTCCCTTTCTCTTCTTTGCTGATTATTTAATTAAACCTCAGATTTAAGAAGAAACAGAAAAGCTTAAATGTTAAAGGAAATAGCTATTAAATCTATTTAAATGGTTACAATTCAGGTAAAATATTAAAGGTAAAAATGAAAATGTTACCATTTATTTATTGCGTTGTCAGAAAATTCATGACTATCCATTATAAAATCCTTAAGGAAGAAACTGGGAATGAACATAAAAATAACTAAAATATTCTAAAAGGTATTTATTTTTCATCCCTACACTAAAAAGCTTATTTCAATGAAAAAGATATTCTTATACTCTTAGAGTATTTATTTACGATATTTACCTGCTTTTTTCCTAGAGAGAAGATTCTTCTAATAATATCTAAATATTAGCAGAGAAACAATCTCCTAATGCTCCCAATTTTGTACGTAGCTGTAAAAACAGTACCATATCTGGAACTCTTTAAAGAGTCATATTTTGTCATATTAGATAAGGGAGGCTTCTCCTTTACAAGCTGTCTAGAAGTGAGTCCACATTAGGTACAGATGAAGCTGGTCCTGAAATGAAGCCTCAGATGAAGCTGGTCCTGAAATGAAGCCTGCTTGATGAGGAAGACCTCCTCTGAGATTAGTTACTTTGACAAACTACTCAAGTTTACCTGGTTGGCCCATGCTTAGAGAGAAGTATCTGGCAAGTAAGCGTCAAACCAAAAGAGGTAACTATGGCTGAAATAAAGGCAGTTCCCTTCAAGGCCACTGAAGCATGCTCTGCAAGCAGGGTGGAATTTAAGAGTTCTTAAGTTTAGAGGTCAAATACTTGCACTGAGGTCAAGAATGAGGAAAAGGTGTTGTTTAGCAACCAAAATGGATTTTGTTTATGGTGTAAGTTATGACTGCCAATGTTCAACAATTAACATACTTTTGTTGGTAGACTATTAAGTCACTTTCCCCTATTCCAATCTTTCTTTTCATGAAGAATGGTGATTTGCCAAGGAAATGCTCTTAGATGTGACAGGCTATTGGCAACTGTTGAGAAAGCTGAAAGGATAGTCTGTATTATGGAGATAGGCTAGAGCCACAGAGAAAGAATATACTAGAAGAGATCAGAACTGGCTTGCCAAAGTGCTTGAAACTCCCACCTTTAGCCACTCTTGGGTGTTTCAGAACTGGAAGGGATCTGGAATTGTGTTTCTCAACTAGCCTCAGCAAAAACACTTCCAAAGGCAATGTACTTATTACCTCCCTTGGGCCTACTTTCACTGTTAAATTTGCATTCCCTTGAGTTATTGGTCTCTCCTTCAGAAGACTTTTAACATGTGTAATTCCTGTTAACATACTTGTTAAGTAGGGAGTCACTGAGAGATTAACACTTAACAAATTTTTATCCAAAGGCAAAATCTTAAGAGATAAGGTACAGAATGGCTATGTTTTGAAGGAGATTGGGAAGGGATGACCTAGTTTTCTCAGAGGGATTCACTGAGTACTGACTGTTAGGCAGTATGAGGACATTAGGCTCTTGGAGAACATGCCAAAAATGGTAAGGGTACAGATATTATACAGATATTATACTTCAATTATTTATTCATTTATATAAATAAATAAATGAATATATGTATACATATGACTGGCTGATATCTGACATCTTAAAAATAAAGATAAAAGGGGCCCTCCCTGGTGGCTCAGCGGGTTAAAGCACAGCACAAAGAAGCTTAAACCACTTCCGCATGAGTTCGATTCCCCACCTGCCCCGGAGGTGACCACATGGCGTGGCAGACCTCTCCTGACCGCTCGCTGCTCCTCTCAGCAGTGTACTTTGTAGATCTGCCTGTTCTGCACCCCACTCTGTCTCTGGTGAATCCTCTCACCCTCTGCATCTCTGGCCTGTACTCCAGTTCTGTATGAATAAATAAATAAATCTTAAAAAAAAATAAAGATAAAGGGAGTGAGATGACTAAGAATCTAAAAAAAAAATGTGAATATTAATCTGAAGGCAACAGAATAGAATTTTAAAACTGTGGTGAGAGCAAGTCAGCATTAAGACTTTTTACAAAGGAAGAGAATGGACAAATGGCCATAGTCAGAGAGATACAGAAAATGTGCTTAGGAAACAGGTTTAGAGGAAGAGGCAAGAGTTAGTGTATGATTGTCAAAGTCGTTGGAGCAAAGAAACCTTGATGACCACTTATAATTTGATCTAAGAATGGCTTGGTAATGTAAACAACCAAAAGCAAGGTTGTCTAATGATACACAAAGGTGGAGATGACTGCTCATGTAAAAGTCTTTAAAAAAATGTCTCACATCTGTGATTTCATTTGGTCCTTACATGCTCCTCATGCAGCAGTGGGTAGGTATTTTATCCCTTTCTGCAGACAAAGAAATTGAGGTACAGAAAGGCTACATTTAGAGGCTACATAAATGATGGGTTAAGATGATGCTAAGTGCTGATTTCATAAACATTAAGCTTTCTTCACATTTAAGATATGAATCCAAGTATCTACATCAACACTTAAGAATCACTGGGAGAAGACTGCAAATGCAAGCGGGACTTCCAGATAGTGTTATACTACAGTAATCCATAAACATGTTTACTAATTGCTCCAACAACTTCTGTAATCATCACCCTTTCAAACATGGTCTTTCTTGCCCTTTTCCTATGCCAAACTATTGGTATAGTATACAAGTACACAAAGTGCAAGCTTTGCATGTACAGAGTTCACTGCCTAGGGGCAAGAAAGACTACATAGTAAGAATAGTTGAAAATAAGGGTTACTTAGTGGGTACTAGTAGACTGCCATAGCCAACTGGAGACAATATTAAATAAATTTTTAAAATAAATGGCTTTAAGAATAAGGAGAAAAAAAAATTCAAAATAGAATGAACTGATACAGAAATCCAAAGCAGAACAACCCAATACACTATGATATTTTCTGAGGTCATTATACATAATCTTAGGTTTATATGAAATGCCAGCTTTAATTTTTTTAAAAGGTGAGCGATTTATCTTGCTATATGAATTGACAACTAAGGTCTAAGGTCCAACAAATGTTTGGCATCCATCAGATGCCAACAGAACTTAAGTCAGGGTCAATTCAGACAAATTAAACAGAGATATACATAAATATAAATATGACTACAAATATATATGTATACATGTGTATAAATATGTGTGTGTATATATATGTGTGTGTGTGTGTGTGTGTGTGTGTGTGTGTGTGTATGTATGTATGTATGTCTAAGTAAACCGGCTACTAAGTCCCATCATGACTAGGTATAAAACAGTAAACTGGTATGTAAATGACTATTAATATGGCAGATTTTCTTTTTATACGTCTCTATGTTATCAGCTTCAACACTGGCAGTTTATCCTGATGCTGTATACAAAGTGATCCTCACTATATCCAGCAAACATAACCTTCTTATATGCTTTGACTACAAATTTTCCCACATTCCCTTGAATGTCTTTCAAGTCTTAGTCTTTCTGCTCTTTTCTCACTGAATCCACTGAGTGCCAGGCCAGTGAAGTGTGGACCAGGGCAGGACTACCAATGACACAGAAATGGGAGGGCTAGAACAGGAGGGTAGAAGCAGGGTGATAGAAAGGTTCAAGGACAACAGTCTCTTCAGTTAGGGGAGGAGTTAGGAGAATTCAGAGGAGGAAGATCCAATCCTGTATTTAACAAGGCGCAGGATGCAGATCTGTGACAGTGAGGCACTAATCACTTAATGAGCCCAATACAGCTCTGAGGAATTACCAGTTCTATAATCTGGAAACACTCTATTTGGCACGTTTGCCTTTTATCACCAAATGCAGATTTCATTCACCTTTGCAAATCTGAATTTAGATTCAGAGTTCAAGTCCATTTAATTTATCATCTTGGTTCACATAATATTCATCTATAAAAGATTTGGGCAAGAAAATGCCAATGTGCTGAAAGAATATATAAATTGTTTGGGCAGATACACATCAGCAGTTAGCTATGGTATGTACCCATTGTTCAGAGGAGATAACACATGGTAGAAAAGAGCATGGTGACAACACTCAGAAGGTGTATTTCCTGACATGAACTAGTTCTGTGACTTAAGAACTTGCAGGACTGAATTTCTTCATATATAATGCAGAGTATAAACAGGTAAGTTCCTATTTCTGGAATGAAAGTTATCAGAACATCTAAGGAATCAACAAGTTCTATGATGGGGAAGGGTGAAAAGAGAGAATAAAAAAAGGAATTCCTTTTTATTTTCTTTAAAATCACTCTACTCTCAAATCATTCAACAGCAACAAATATGAGATTAGAGGAAGGACAACGCATGACTGGACTGAGAGCTCAGGTACTTTTCTAAATATATGATGGAATTTAGGTTTTATAGGCTTGGTGATGTGGGGGTTGGCAGGACCTGGAAGCCATAATGTAGAGGAGAACTATGAGTGACCAAACACGTACATGTACCTGTGGGAGGGCAAATGAGTGACCAAATACATACATATACCTGTACCCATGACAGGCTGCCAGGAATAGCAGTTTGAGTTTTATCCTGAAAATCAGTAGTTTTCAAGCTCTTACAATGAATATTGTAAAGTATCAAAGATGTGCTTCCTAGTGACAAATCCATTTATTTCTGAGTTGAATTACAGTATTCCGGTGGCCTAATGGTCCCTGGTCTGACTTCAGTGCAAAGAACTACATAGGATCAATAGGTAAGAACAAAAAAAGAGATTTGTATTCAACACAAAGAAAATTCTCCTAACATTGCTTGTTATTTAAAGATGGCACGTGCCACTTATCCACACTAAATGAATACAGTCACTAACAGCATTCAAGCAGAGAATGAATGTACATTCAAGCAGTGATGTCAAGGATGGACTTTCTATATCAAATGGGAGATTGGGCTGTTAGACCACAAATTTTTTTCCCCAAACTTAAAGAGTTCTATGAAATAGAACGATAGCTAAAAATATATCAGTATCAAATACATTTTTCAACACGGAAAAAATGGTGTATTTTAAGAAACAGTAAAGAGATAGCGAAGAAAGATTAGGATTGCTAAAGAAAGGAAGATTATATATTCAGTAGTTATGTTACCTTTGCAATTTTTCCCATTTCATAAATGTCTGCTTTTTGACCTTCAATATCCATGAAAGCAGCTTCAATTCTGCTAAGAGTCTGTTCATGGTTACTGCAGATATCTGGGAGTCCTTCAGGAAAGTAGAACTGTGGAATGTTTTTCGACAATGGTGTACTGACATTATTCACGTGACGAACAGGGGAGACAGGTCGGGTTTTACTTGGAACAGTGGGTGGAAGCGGTGTTCCAGGCTTATTTTGAATCTGGAAAGAATACACAATTATGAGACACAACAATTCTGAACAGTATAAATTTTTCGTAAGTTCTTGCACATAATAGAAAGCTGAGTAGAAGTGCAAGAAACCACAATTAGAGACAGTAGAGATCAAGAGCTTATTCTACTGTAGGCTATGATAAGTATACTTCTAGAAAATGTTTATCCTCTCACTAAATAAATACTTTAATTCTATCAGTACCTTAGTTTGCAGAGACTGATGCTTAAAAATTCTGCAGTAAATTTCCCCTCAGCATTTAACATTGTTAAATGCTGGTTTACATGTTAATAATATATTAAGGACCTTAGTCTGTTGAAGTTGGAGACTGTTTTTAGTCTTTCTGTCAATCTGTCTGTACCTATCCTTCCAGAAGCAGACAGAATGATTTTTTTTAAACATGTAGATCTAAAATGCATTTGGGGTTGGGGAAAGAAAGTGAGAGGCTCCTTTCATTTTCTTCTCTAGTTTGACTTTGTCTAGATAGAATCACTGCTTCCCTGATGCAGATAGTCTTTGTTCATAACAACGCATTTTAGCTTGGGAATGTCTACCAGATTTATTTACCCTAGAGACATGCCATTTTCCCCCATGATAAACATTTCTCTCATTTTTGGTATGTTCTAATAAGCAAGGTCATTGGTCATTAATTTCATCACAGTCAAACTCCCTTTACAGTTATTAAGTCATTTATAGCATTTTTTTTTCCAAAAAGGATTTAATCCTGTGTATCCCAAAAAGGCATAAGCAAGGACAGAATAAAAAAGGGTTAACAAGACCCTCCCTGGTGGTGCAATGAGTTAAGCACAGCACAATGAAGCTAGCTGCAGCTGCTTTAGCATGAGTTCGATCCCCGGCCAGGGAAGTGATCCTCATGGCATGGCAGACCAATCCTGATCCACATGCTGCTCCCCTCAGCAGTGTACTTTGTCAATCTGTCTGTTTCTGCTTCCTGCTCTGTCTGTGGTGAATCCTCTCACTGTTCCTGTGCCTCTGGCCTGTACCCCAGTTCTGTATGCATAAATAAAAAAAATCCTTTTTTCTTTTAAAAGGGAACAGTGGGAAAATTAAGATTTTCCATGATTTACAGAATTGGGAAGGCAGATACACTAACATTCAGGTAGGAGTTAATTTTACCTATGAATACTAAATTTAATTCTGAAGTTCTTACCAGAAAAAACAAAAAAGATGCAATATGATTTTGCTTTAATTTCTCTTTTGAGCAAATTATCTATCAATACTTATGATCATGGCAGTGTACTACATAAAGTGTGTAAAATGGACATGACTACTAAATTTAAAGTAAATTTAAGTTTATTTTAAATTCATGAACACCAAGTATTACTTGAATGTTCTTCTCCCTTAAATTATGCTAATGCAAAATGAACAATGATTTATATGTAAGAAATAGATCTGAATATCATTTACTTCTGGCAACAGGCTTATAATATGATCTTTAAGTTAAGAATATAATTTTTAGCTAACTTTGAAAAAGCATGAGTATTATAGGAGGATTAACCTTCACTAACATACGCATATGATGAAATTGATTTAATCTACTTTTACATACCCATGGTTCATTTTTCATGTATTAATAACTAATATTCATACACAGAATGTTGTCTGTTCATATAGTAATTACTATTGGGGATACGAAGGTCAGTGGTCACACCACACCTTTGCTGTAGAGTAAGAATATCACACATAGAGTCTAATTATCTTCTGAATTATAAATAAAAAGACCTAATAGAAAACAGTGGTGACTTACTAGCTCAATGACCTCAGAAAAGTCACTTAGCCTTTTAGACTTTAAGTCATAAAACAGATTATAACCCCTATTTACTGGGAGATTGTTGAGAAGATAAAAGTAAATTATAGCATATATCTAGGTAAAAGTTTCACAACAGCACCAGCACGGATATGTCCTTACTTAAGAAAGTGAGTCATCAGGTGAAAAGGTGGGGTTCTTAATTAACTGTAACTAATAGTAGTTCTTCAGATCACATGATTTGCACTTATACAGCAATTTAAAGTTTACAATTTTTGATTTAACAAATTGAGAATTTATTCTAAGTAAATGTTTCTTTGCCTTGATGCTAAATTTGCAAGCATTATTACATGAGCATGAATTAATAACAGCAGAAATTGTTCTTGAATCTTTGAGATAAGATATATATTTCTTCATAGGCTTTACCTAGGTCACTGATAATAGTGTCATTTCTTTTTTGCTATTTTATGCTGAAAGATATTTATGAGAACAATCAATAAACTTTTATTGTTTCTCAAAATGTTTCCCATACGTGAACAGTGCAGTAACATGGATAACTTCAAGGCAGTTTATGACCACAGAATAAAGACTACTGGTGTCAGGGGGATAAAACCCAACAGTCTAGTGAATAGAGAAGTTTTAGAGCAAGGCCTTAAATACTTTCCACGTTAAGAGACATTCAGAAAAAAACCTGGCTACCTGTAAAGGTTTTTATCTGAATAGGAAAAGATTTGACTATATATTTGTACTTTCCCTAGTGTACTGCTTAACATGGAGCAAGTCCACTGCTAGGTGTGTATCTATTAATTCACTGGTTAATTCCTGATTTAATTAAGCAATTGTTAACATTTATTTATTTGTAAAGATATTATTTATTTATGTATACAGAATTAGGGTACAGGCCAGGGGCGCAGGGTTGGGGACAGGATTCACCAGCGTCAGAGTGGGGAGCAGAACAGGCAGATTGACAAAGTACACTGCTGAGGGGAGCAGCATGTGGGTCAGGATTAGTCTGCTGTGCCATATGGATCACTTCTGGGGTAGGCTGGGGATCAAACTCGCACTGAAGTAGCTGAGGCCAGTTTCAGAGTTCTGTGCTTTAACCTGTTGCTCTACCAGGGAGGGCCTTTGTTAATATTTAAAGAAAAATAATTTATTTAAAACTTTTGGGAATATCAATTTAATTCAAATTTAGGAAAGCATTTGAACAAAATTAGCTCAGTGATGTATCTCAATTCTGTTTGTTTTTCCCTATAAACATAATGTTGAGACATTCATTCTAATTAGCATCACATACTATATGTCACTGTAGCAGTTCCAATATTTAACGACTTTGAACTTTTTTTTTAAAGCAATTTCACATGGTCCATTCAAATAATTTTAAATTACTTGGGTAAGAATAACCATGCAACTTTTTTTTTTTTTTTTTTTTTTTTTTTGCTGGATTGCAGATGGTCATCATTTACATGGCCCTTGATTTAACATGGCCTTTGATTTACATTGTACTTAATACCAGAAAATTTAAATTTGCTGAGACACTGGGCCTAAAGCAAGTAGTATGGAGACTCTCTGCAAAATAATCCTGCAGGCAGAAATGAGTCAGTCTTACAGCTTGTTGAAGGATACTTTTTCACAGTTCAGAAGTAAATATCATTCTTCATTACCTACATATATTATAATACACACATATACAGTTGTCTACATATAAAAATAGTTCTTCCTCTAAAAAAATCAAGCTTAATATTCTTATCAAAAAATTTATTATAGATGCATGTATGTTAATATATTCTATTCAGAGTACAAATAATGCTTCTAAACACAGAAATTCCAGTTTCTCAAAGACATTTCTAATAAAATTCTATTACTCTCCTTGCTAAACTGAAAAGTATTTGTTGAGTTGTATTGAATGTCTCTAAAGCTGGATTCACTTTCTACAATGAGTACTGTACTCTAGTTCCAGGACTATTTTTAAACCTGTTGGAATCTCTCTACAAATAGCTTTCTGCAAGTAGTTAAATAGACAACACTAGACAACACAGATTAATTCCTTGATCTAATATAAATGAACTATAAAATTACTTTTAAGTTAGTTCCACTGGGTGGTTTTATTAGTAAAAAGTATTTTAAAGAGACATCTAAGTTTCAAACCTGTGTCTGCTGAAATGACTTCAGTCTCTTCTTAAACCTTGATGGGAGAACAAAATCACAGCCCCTTGCTAGGAAAGCTAACTCTCCCCTTAAATCCGGGTCCCTTCGTAGAGATGTTTCCTTGATCATCATCTCTGAAAAGTGGATTTACTTAGAACTGTCCGGTACACTTCTGAAGATATTTATAAGTTGTCGATCTTGTTAGGTAGAAAAGTATTTTTTTCTTTCTTATTTCCCAAAGAAATTAAGTTCAAGCATTGTGTTCTCCCAGCCTCCAGAGACCACAATCCATGCTTGTACTGACATGCAGCTGGTTCTCAATTACAGCTTGTGGCTCCCAATACCTGCTCATAATTTTCAAGTTAGAAACACGACCTGCAATGGGCCTGTTTGCTCCTTGTAGGTAACTACAAATTGGCCTGCACAGATACAGAGCCTTCTGGGAAAGGAAGCATCCACTAGCTGAATACCAAAGTTAGAAACATTACAAATGAATTTAAAAATAGCAACTTCTCAGATAATACTAACTTCTTAAGCTTAGAGTATGTGAGATGCCAGTCCACATAAGATGGTTTCTACACAAGCTAAAAGAAAGAGTACTTGTGATTTTGTTACTTAATATTTTACAAAAAACAAAAACAAACAGAACAAGAAGCACTTCAGACATGAAACTAAGGCTAAGAATAGCTTTTCATTTCTTATTCGAATGGAAGAAAATGTTCAAAACCATCTTGGTATTTGAATTGGAGGTCAAAATATGGAGAAACGCAAATATTCACCCTCATAATATTAACACAAAAAATTTGTTGATCTTACATTTTAAAATGAAGTAAATTTAATTTTTTTGAAAAGACTACCTTCAGTTACCAAACAAACTTTCTGGGAGTGATTTGTAATAAATTTACAAAGTATTGATTAAGAAAGGGGAGTAACTGTTCAGTAAAAAGCCGATACAAAAGAATCAAAAGATACAAAAGACCATGTTATTTAAACAATGACAAAATACATTTTGAGTTTATGAGGCTTTTTTCAAAGAGATTCTAAGAAATATCAGATTAAAGAACATTTTGTTATT